AGTGTTGGCAGCATAAAGTTGAGGTTTTACCGTTGTTCACAAACTTTCTGTGCAGAACTCGGTAGAAAGCGTCTGCTCACTCCGCCATCTTGGCCGCCCCCATCAGTTAGATCCAAACACCTGTTGTGTTGGAGAAGCATCGGCATGAACTGTTTAATCTGCCCATCATTTGTGTAGAGATCAGCAGTGTTTGGATCAACAAAGTGTGACTACTTTGATAGTGGAAACTGTATTTATGGCTAACTTTTGTGCATTTAAACTTCAGCCGCCACTGATAGTTGTTAAAAGTTGTTAAACCTGTGCATATGAAACAAAAAACGCCTTTTGTTTATCGATTTATTGTGAAAAACGGAAGTTGTGCTTGCTCCTTTTCCTGTTGGGCGATGGTGATTTCTGTCCATTGACTGCGGAGGTGCTCCGGCGTCCGGCGAAAATAGGATCGATTCTATTTTTGCCGGACGCCGGAACAGAGGACGGCGCACGGCGCCGCACTGCCGGAGCACGGCCGCAGTAGTGGAATTGCTCTGACTGACTACAACGGGACCGATTTTGCTCCGGCGTTCGTGTCGGAGCGGAGCGGAGGTAGTGGAATTTGGGGGTAATGATCAAAGTTAGATGGATCTGGGTTAAAGGTCTCTAACCTCACAGACAAACAGTCCACAATTTTTGCAACAGTTTCTGCATCCAGGGCTCTGAACCTAGTAGCTGGAGCTTCACACACAGGGACAGGGCATGGCAAAGTAACATCACAGAGTATTGGAGAGTGGTCAGAGAACACAGGAGGCAAAGTCACAAGGTTCATGACAGAGAGACCAAATGAGAGAACCGGGTCCAGGGTGTGACCCCTGGCATGAGTTGGGGACGATAACCATTCAGTTAAATTGAATGAATCTAGCAAATTTAAAAAACCTTTAGCAAGCACATTGTCAGGACATGGATATGGATGTTATAATCACCAAAAAATAGGACATAGTCATATTTTAGGATACAGTCAGCCACAAGATCATAGAAATCATTAAGGAAGTTAGAGCCAGTCTTTGGAGGGTGATAAATCAGTACGCTGAGCAGGCGGGGGGAGATGCATAGTTCAGATAGGCACAGTTCAAAGGAAGAAAATGACATGGTGGGTGTAAGCTGTTTACAGGGAAAGCTGGATTTAAAAACAACAACCAGCCCACCACCTCTGCCCCGCGATCTAGGGATATTAAAACAGAAGCAGCCAGGTGGTACCAGCTCCAGCAGGGCGCTTGAGTCACCAAACGGGATCCAGGACTCACAGATGCACAGAAAACTCAAATCATGTTTAATAAAAAATCCTGAAGAATAAAAGTTGTGTTCTACACAGACCTGGTATTGACCAGACCAAACCGGGTCTGCGGCGGGGCCGCAGCACCGGGATCGCACACCGGGATCGCGCACTGGGATCGCGCACGGGCACCGTCTCCTCCAACTCTGAGCCCCTAACTGAGAGTAAATTCTCACTGTAAACCCCACTCTGGCGAGGTCCTCGAGCCGATTGGCCGTGGCGCAGTGCCAGCTCACCCTCATAGCCGGCCAAGTTCACAAGGCAGGGTGCAGAGTAAACCATCAGACGTCTCGGAACCACCGGGTCATAAGCTGGGCCGAATCCGACCAGCCGCTTCTTCAGGGATCCAGGAAGTCCAGCCCGACGTCTCACACACCGGCTACCTTGCTGTCCCCGTCTTCTACGATGCTTCCTTCCCAAGCTGGGGCAGACAGAGGGCCAACACATCACGGCTTGGGGGGAGAGAGAGCACAGGGAAAGTCCAAACAACAATGCTATCTGTGAGGTTCCCAGCGTGCAGCGACCGCTATATCAACAGGAGTACGAAGCCTCAGCAGCGCAGCTCGATCAAAAGGCACCAGAGAAGCCACACCATTCAAAAAAACATCAGAGACAACAAAAATACATTAAAACCAATAAAACGCAAGGTTCCGTTGCGTAAAGAGGACAAGCAGCTCGCTGCGTGCCATGCACCCGCGCGAGCGCCATCTGAACTCAACATCAGATCTTTATGAAATTTGGGAAGGATGTATTACTCGATGTGTACTCTAAGACTGAAGTAGATTGATGTTACGGAATTAAACAGTTTTTGAGAAATTAACCATTAAATATAGTGAAATTTGTTTTTAAAGCCAACTTAGATTGCACCTTTTTTAAAATGCCACATCAGATCCTTATGAAAGTTTGTGAGGATGTACTAGTCGATGCGTACATTAAGTATTTTTTAAATCATGGGTGGGGAACCATGGTCCATCAAGGGCCACTATCCAGGATATTTTAGTTTCAACCCTGCTTCAACAAACCTGATTTCAATCAGCAGGTGATTAACAGGCTTCTACAGAGCCTGATGAGCTGCTGAACAGGTGAATCAACACCTGAATCAGAAGTGTTGGAGCCAAGACATACAGGATGCCGGCCCTCGAGGACCAGGGTTCCCCACGCCTGGTTTAAATAGACAGAATCATTACACACAATTGTGCACACACACACACACACACACACACACACACACACACACACACACACACACAAAATACCATACCACTTTATTTGTATAGCGCTTTTAACACAGCAATACAGCCGACCATAGCGCTGCACATAAAAACAAATAAATAAAAACACAAGCTAAATTAGTCGTGTATATCATAGAAGTAAAAAAGATGAAAGAGTTAAAAGAACATCAAACTAAAACCAGAATATAAAAACACAAATTTAAAATCGAACAAACAAGGTGGAAAAACTAAGGATGAGTTCATGCTTTATGGTTCGGGAGTTGAAGGCCAGGGAGAAGTAGTGGGTTTTTAGGCGTGATTTAAATCGGCAACAGAGGGTGCTTGCCTAACCTGATGAGGCAATGAGTTCCACAATTTTGGGGCACAGACAGAAAAAGCCCTTTCCCAGTGGGTCTTCAAACGTGCCTCAGGGACAGTTAGGAGGAGCTGATCTTCAGACCTAAGAGCATGAGTAGGGTGATAGTAGTTAGAATAACATTTAAATCTAGTTCATTCTTTTCATCAAAAGTATTTTTAAATGGATAAATCATTGTAAAGCTGTTTTATCTTAGACACAATTTTACACAAACTTTTAATTGTGTTCATCCGCATGCTCAGACACACATCTTAAAAGTGCTCCTTTATTTTGAAAGGCACTCAAAAATGAGGGCACCGTAATTTCTCTTGTAGTTGTGCCCATAAAAATCGAAGGAGGGCTGGCTTGACGCTTGTTTCCGAACAGTCATGTCTGCGCTTAAACATTTTTAAAGAGAAGATCTGGACTTCTCCACAGCACAGCCAATGGTTGAAAGTACCAAAGAGGCTCTGAAAGAAATAATAGTCCATCTTAGCTCTGCTGAAAGGGAATTATTTAGCTCTCGTGATGGATACTTAGCATGCGCGAGGAAAACAGGCGCTGAAGTCGCAGAAGGAACACGCTGGAGTTATGGAAAGTGGTTAAAAACTGTCAAGATTGATGGAGTAATATTCTGGATAAAACTTTTCGAATCACTTTTATTCAGGGTATCCGCGGGTCCTTAAAAAGTCTTAAAAAGTCTTAAATTTGCTTTTCCAAATTTAAGGCCTTAAAAATCCTTAAAAATGACAAATAATCCTTAAATACAGTTTCCAAAGGTCTTAAATTTTCAAAGACCCAATAAACAAGATTATTTTGTTCCTATAAAATTTTCGTGAATTTCTAGTTAGTCTTCAGCATTTTTTGTGTGTGATGTTGGTGTAAGCGGAACCGTGCACGTTCAGTTGGTTGTGAAAGGGGGCTATTTTTAGATGAGCACATTAGCTGGTTAAACTAGTGGGAGCTTGCGCCATGGGGAAGTGCAACTTTAATGGTAACTGGATGGTTAATCCCACATTCGCGACGTGGTTAGCACCGGTTCCAGGCAATAGCTGGAAATTATAGCTTAAATTAAATTAAAAAAATAGCTTAAATTTGGTCAAAGTGGCCTTAAAAAAGGTCTTAAATTTGGCTCCCTTAAACCTGCAGATACCCTGTTTATTGGAAGGACTTCTGGCTGATTATTTGGAGCTTACGGATGACGTTATGTCATTAAAAAGGTCAAGGACAAGGAACGCGAACAAGAAAACAACGCTGGAGCAAGGTGTGGCTGACGAGCAACAGGTGACAGGAGTTACAATGGCAGGCATGGATGATCAGCAACAGGATTTACCGACGACGATTTTCATGATAATAGGAGAGGAAATAAGAGGAGTAATAGAGACCTTGCAGCCACAACTGGACGATTTAAAGCAAGAGATATCGCAGGCTGGCAAAAAAAAAAGGAAGATGTGGAAGAATCGTTGTGTGAAATGGACAGTCGGATTACAATATTGGAGAAAGAAACGGACAACTTCGTAAGGTTAATAGTGAGTTAATAAAGAAGGTTGATCATCTTGAAAGTTACTCTAGGATGTGTAACATCCGCGTTTATGGGCTGCCGAAAGATGTAGAAAAGGGACAACCATCAAAATACATGGCTTCTCTCCTGTGCGAGATGTTTAAAAGTAAACTAACTTCGGAACCTGAGGTTGAAGTGGCTCATCAGATTGGATTAGCTGGGAAGACTGGAGACAGAGCCATGATTGTGAGACTACAACGATATAAAATGAAGGAAGAGATCATGGAAATTATGAAGAAGGAACGCATCTTTGAAATTCGCGGGATGAAGCTGCGAATTACTGCAGACCCGACGGAGATGATGGCGAAAAAGAGGGCAAGCTTCCGTGATGTGAGAGAGAAACTGTGGAAGGCGGGGGTAAAAAATGGGATCATTCATCCTGCAACATTAATTATAAGATTTAAAGAAGAAACCAAGAGGTTCGTAGTAGGGCTGCAACTAACGATTATTTTCATAATCGATTAATCTGTCGATTATTTTTTCGATTAATCGGTTTGTTATTGTTTAGCTATTTAACCTATACAAGTGATGGATGCATTTCAGTTAAGAAAAAAAAACATAAGAGAATTGTGCAGTTGACTGCAATCTATTTTATTGCACATGAACACAGTCAGCAGTATAAAATGAGCTAAACAGTGCAAAATATCAGTCCAGAATAATTTTTTAGCATTAGCTGGAAGCCTGCTCCTTCCACCATGGATAGTGGCCTCATGTCTTTTACCAGCATGTTTAGAATAGAGTTTGTAAGTGGTATGAATTGCTGGGGGGTGAGTGTCTCTTTCCCCATGTAGTTGTCCATCGTTGCTTGTTTTTTTTCTGCATAAGAAACACAAATAGACTGAAATAAGTACACATATAAAATAAAGCAGCACACACACTACAACACTAAATCAATATTATATTATTTGAATTAATTAACAATATACAGTGATCATTTATTTTGAGGGTTACGTTCTACAAAATAGCCCGCAACAGGAGATATTCAGAAAAAAAGTCTAATTTTTTTACTATTAAAAAGCTCTAAGTAAGAAGCTCATGAGGTTTTTACTTTGAGTCGGGAGTGTTTAAATTAGCTAGAAAAATGTGAAAAATGATTATTTTGTGTAATACTGTTTAAGAAACATGATAAAAATGTGTTGTGAGGCGTTTTACAGCGTTAGATAGTAAAACAGCCTTTTAATAGTAAAAAAAATGACTTTTTCTGAATTTCTCCTGTATTTAAAAATTGAAAGCGTACAACTATGCCGCGTTATATTCACCTGGACACAGCTCGTCTGTATATTTTTCACCGCGGAGTTGTCCTTTTTTGAATGAGGAACATAGTTATGGGTTTGTGCCGTTTTTCTCTTAACTAGAACATTCTTATAAACAGACGTGCTAAATTTGGCAAGCGCATGATTCACAACACGGAGGAGATTCACGATTGCATCTAGTCAATCAGAAGTAGAACACCGTAGACTGACGCGGCAAAAAAACATGTTTAACATCCACTATAACGAACTCAGCTAAAACACTAAGTCCAGCTTGTTTATTTTCTGTTACTTACCGGGCTGGCTCTTCCAAATGACGGCTCACTTGACCGCGGTGCTCTTCCTCAGCCCCCACGTTTTCGTCTCAAATGTTCACTTAGGGACGTCGTGCTTCCGTGCCATGCTAGATGGTTTTTGCATATTTTGCCTTTTCAATGCATCTAGTGAAGTGCTCCCATACTCGTGAGGTTTTTGTCCGGGGTTTCTCTAAAATTTTGTCGCTTCTATTTTTCTTCCGTATTTCCTCTTGTTCCGCCATCTCTCACAGCAAGATGAGCGTCAGTAAAGTGATACGTCATGAAAACCGAGGGCACTCATTGGCTCATTTCTTCTTCTACGGCTCCACTGGTAGATCAGTGGCTCATTACTGCCACACACTGGCGGCAAATTTAACAGCTTGTAACCGATGTCAGATTGTGGTAAAAATAGACTTTATGCGGTAAAATATGATTATTAAACAACTAATCGATGACTAAAAAAGTTGTTAACTATTTTAATAATCGATTATAATCGATTAAATCGATTAGTTGTTTCAGCTCTAGTTCGTAGATCACCTCCAAGCTGAAGATTACTGGAAAAAAGTGATAGAGCCAAGCTTGAGTACTAGAGAAAGTTATATTAAGACCACAGGATCTAATTTAGGTTAAACTACAGCTGGCGTGGTGAGACACTTCTAATTTAGATATGGTTAAAGGGGGAAATGTGTGTGATGTGATGGGGGTTTTCTTGTGGTTGAATGTCTAATGTTATGTGTTGCACAAATATATATTATTATATGACAATGGCAAAGGTTTGTGTATTGAGATGGAAAGTATTGAAACTGCATAATGACAAATGTTCTTGAATTACCTAAAAAGGATTGAGGATGGCTCATTTGAACATATGTAGTTTAAGAAATAAGATACAGGGTGTAGCAGAAATCAAATTCAATTCAATTCAAAAATACTTTATTAATCCCAGAGGGAAATTGACATCCAGATGGGATTTACATAAAATGGCGATTACTGAAACACATTTTGATGAGTCAATTAGTAATAATTTGCTTAGTATAGAGGAGTATAATATATATAGATCTGACAGGAATACAAAAGGAGGAGGAGTGGCATTTTATGTTTGAGATCACATACCAGTAAAGGTTAGAGGGGATTTAAGAAATGGGGAATTAGAAGTAATCTGGTTACAGGTGCATTTACCTCATTTAAAGCTGCTGTTAGTTGGGTGCTGTTACCGCCCACCTAATGCAGAAGTGAAATATGTTAATTTAATATGTGAAATGATTGACAGAGTGTGTGATGTGGATAATGAAATTTATTTACTTGGAGATTTTAATATTGACTGGAATAAAACATCATGTGCCATCAGAAGTATATTGTTAGCTAGTACACAAACATTTAATTTGAAGCAGATGATCAGGAGCCCAACTAGGATAAAGTTACAGGGCCGTTGGATCAGTATCAGCCACTTGTATTGATTTAAATTTTACAAACGCACTAGCGAAGTGTTCAAAAGCAATAACAGTACCGGTAGGCTGTAGTGATCACAATTTAGTAGCAATAGGCCAAAAGACAAAAATGCCAAAATCTGGTCAGAAGATCATTTCAGTGTTTCCCCTAGGAATTTTTCCAGCTGTGTGTGTGGGGGGTGGGGGTGCTTGGGGAGAAATTATGACACGTCCCTAAATAAAGTAAAATTTTCCAGTGTAGATTGGAGACAACCCATAGAAGCACTGATTTGATCTCATTTCAGAGAAAAATAACACAGGTTAGATGCACATAATAAATAAAATTACTAACAAACTCAGGAATCTTTCTTTGCTTCACTGTTCTGGTGCTGAGTATATCACTAATGCGGATCAAAGGAGATACACAAATGAATGCACCTCTTATTTATTATTTGGAAACTACATTTACTGCAGCTGGCAGAGGCAGAGATTTTTTCTATTGATACACGGAATTTACAGAATCATTTTAAATTTTAATAGGGGAAGACTGCAGGAGGGAGCGGTAAAATACAGGGGGTCCCCAGCAAAAACAAGAAACTATGAGTCTGATGAAACCCGCTGGATTTCCATCAGGCAGTCACGGGGCAGCTCCAACGACCCAGTGGCTGTGCTGGGTCAGTTATTGAGCCCAGTCCAGTACCAGCTCGGCCGTGAACGAGCCGAGGCAACGTCGTGCTCTGCTTAAGAAGAGGTTTACTTTCCTGCTTCAGAAGAAGCGTCCAACGTGTTTTTACGCTTTCTCCGAGACATGTCACGTCGCTAAGTTGTTAGCGCCGTGCGCTAACACGTCAATAGTGCAGCGTAGTGGAGGTTTTAAGGGTTCAGATGAAAACACCCAACCTCTCACGCTGCTCACACATCGATCTTAAGTTGTCGCTGTTGCGCTCACGCCGTAATACAGTATTAGTTGCGGTTAAAGTCAGACGTGAAAAAATAAATAAATTTTACATGAATAAGTGATGCTTAGCCTGGTGGGGGGAGGAAAATCTGGCCTAATAAGCACTGGAGGAAACCCTGTCAAGATCGTCAACACTCGTTTATCTTAATGCTATTGAAACATGTAAACCAAAAAGCATTATATCCACTGCTACCTTTCTAATTTTAAACTCAGTAACTTATGCTGTAACTGCACCTTGCTCTGCCTGCTCCTTTCTTCTTGCTGTCCGTCAGCTGTGATCACAAGCGACAACATAGTAGTTCCCGCTGCTTCTTCGGGAAACAGCGCAAAAAAAATAAAATAAATAAAACTTGGGATCTTGTAGGCGTGGCGGGCCGCCACGGCTAGGGAAACCCTGCCTTCTCTCTTAATGTCATTTTTTCTCAAAGTTCTTCATCCAACCAGGGAGCCTTAGAGTTCCTCACAGTTAATTTTCTTATTGGTGCATGTCTCTCAATGACATAGAAAACTCAGAGCCTCATTAGGATCAATTTCTTTCAAAATTCTCGACCAATCAATGCAGCTTACATCCATGTAATACTTATTCCATTCCAAGTTCTTTAAGATCCACTTGAAAATGCAGGGTTTCCCTTACATAGGCGCAGCCGTGGCGGCCCGCCACGGCTGAAATCCCACCGCCACGCCTACAACATCCCAAGTTTTATTGATGTTTTATTTTTATTTTTTTTTGCGCCGTTTCCCGAAGAAGCAGCGGGAACTACTGTGTTGTTGCTTGTGATCACAGCCGGCAGGTAGCAAGGAGGAGGAGGCAGGGCAGGGTGGTTACAGCTATGAGCGTACGGATAAAGCATTTTTGATGCGAGCAAGAAACGAGTGTAAAACTCGTAAATTTCTGTAATCGTGCTGAATGAAATCCTCATTGGATAACTGACTGTCTTCACGCTCTGTGATTGGCCAGTCAGATAGAGCGCCCGCCCCTCTCTACACACAAAACTGCAGCCGGGAGCTCCGTCAGGCCCAGGCATCAACGCACACACACAGACAGACAGTAAGCCGGGCGTACACTGTGCGACTTTTTCACTTTTTTGAGCAGATTTTCCACTCGTGCGAGAATCCACAAGATCGGGGCGAGTTTTGCGCTGAGCGTCGTGTAGTGTACAGGGGGTTACGAGAGGTGATTAACACCACGTGACCAGCTACCGATCAGCAATCGTGAGCTCGCACGGACTTCTGGATTGTTTGATATTTAGCTCGTTCCTCATGAGGGTTGAAGCAGCGCAGCAAGCGGCTGCGACCCAAAAAGTATCAGAACCGCTCACGGCGCATGCGCAATCCTGCATCAACTCCGCTCACCCGCTATTTCCCTAATAACACACGCTGTTCGTTTTTATTTCTACACGTTTTTTTACTCACAATGATTGTCAAGAAAGCGTGTTTGTCGTGTTCAGTCAAATTAAACTGATCACAAAACACAGATTTACTTTCTTTATTTCGTTTCCTCATCTAACCCCCATAAATCCCTGTGTGTCCTCCTGCAGCACTCCCGAAGGACACCAGGCAAAACAAGACAAAAAAGTCTGACGTGTTGTGTAAAAACTGCTATTTTTAGCATATTTTTAGGTCCGACGTGTTGCTACCAGACGTACAGTGAGCACATGACTCGTGAGATCTACCCTGCGCTGAAGTCGTACAGTTTGAGCTGAAGCTGAGTTACGAGTGAAAAAGTCGCACAGTGTCCGCCCAGCTTATTATAATGTTCACTGTAATGCATCTTGATGTTCTTAACAAATAAATTAAATAAAAAATATTGGTCAATAATGCCAAATATGTAAATGTGTGTTTCAGTCATTTTTATACTGGCTTAAAAATACTTCATTAAGTCTACTAAGCAGGGGTGTAGAACGTTTTTAATAGGGCCAGCCCTGTAATGATCTTGGACCAAAATAAAGGGGGCAGAAAGTCAAATAAAGGCGGGCAAAAGAAGATGTTTTTCCAGACGCCAAGAAAAATTAAATGCCAAATCCACCCTGCAAAGTGTGTCACTGAGAGTTTAAAACAGAAATTATTCTTGTGCAAATATTGGTGTACTCACCTTTAATACTAGTTATTACAATGCAGCAGTTGCTGGATTGGTGCAGTTCAAAGTGGAGTGCATCAGATAAAACAATATTAACATAAAGGTGAGATGTGTCATATCCCCCCCCCCCCCCGGCCAACACCACCTCCACCACAGCTGGGAAAATTCCTAGGGGAAACACTGAATACACTTTCGGTATTAAAATCTCTTAAATTAAATATTACTCTTTTGTTTAAATATAGACCAAGCCAGTTGGTGTATGAACTTCTATCGATTATATAAATATCTGTGGATATATATATATATATGATATAAGTTTCATTGCCAATTTGTTTGATCTTTCTCAGAATTTAACAAAGCTGAATAGCAACAACGTTAAATTCTAGTTATGTAGATTAACAATGCTACATATATAAATTATTCTATTTTGCACACGCATTCTTTAATCCCTAAACCTTGGTTTATGCTTGACGCATCCGCCAAGTTCGCACGGCTCCGCGTGGCAAAATTGCATCATTTTAACGACCACGGCCCCTCCACCGTGCCTCCGCACGGCCCAAACTTTCCGCACCGCGCACATAGGAAATTTTCTAACCACGCAGATGGTCGGACACGGAAAAACATGGCGGACTGGCAAGAACTAGTATGGCAGAGGTTCGTAAATACAGACATTTGTATGATTCAGCTCTCAAAGATCACTGTGATCAACATGTTAATAATTCTTGGAGAGAAATAGCTCGCACTGTCGGAAAAGACGAGGACGCTGTTAAAAAATGCTGGAATGCCATGTTGTAAACAACAGTAATTTTTACTTCTACTATGGTGTAGTGTTGGATGCATGCCTTAGAGCTCCATGCTGCCCCGTTCAGTTTGGGAGAATATTGGCTCACCGCAGAGACAAGCCGCATGAACCATAAACGCTGCAAGTTGTGAAGCGCGTTCCATCTGGGAGCCGCATCACCAAGCGGAAAGTAAGTGCGTCAAGCATAAACCAAGCTTTAGTTATCTAAAGTTGATTTTCCCTTTTACCTGTAGATTTGATTAATTTGCAGTTATCATTATATGACTTCAACAGTATTTTCATGAAGGATGTGTATGCAGCGTTTCATTTTAAACTGTCATTATGGTTAGTATACATGCACACAAATATAGACTATATATGTCTCGTATTTACATAGTTTTAATGCATATCCAAAAAATTAATTCTTAAAGGGGCATTATGGAAGTTTGACAGCCAAAACATGTATAGAAATAATAAATTTCTTCTTAATACATTCTCCTGCAATGCCCTGGTCCTGTAGAATGAGCCCTGGCATTTTTACTGTGATTGCCTGTTTTTCTGTAAAATCACAGAAAAAGAGAGCTGCTCGGGTCGAGCAGGCTGCTTCATGCACGTTCACGTTCAGGCATAGCCCTCTGAACCGCTCTTAAGAGGTACAGATACAAATGACGTCACTGGCACAATTTCTCGCTTGGTAAGACGTCGGACTTTCGTGCTGAAGACCCGGGTTCGATTCTGGATGTGAACATCGTTTATTTAGAGTTTATTTTTTACATTAATGGTATATTTTTTTACAGTAAGATGCCCAAAGTTTTATTTGAGACTCGCCGAACGGCATTGAATTCACAGATAAAAAAGATGTGGGTTCAACTTTCATTTTGGAACAATTTTTCAAGAGCATGCAGGAGGACTGACCCATCTTAAACCTTTGTCGGCTGTGCTGAAGAGAAACGTACAGAATCAAATTATTTAATTAATTAGCTGCGCGTTCTCCTGTCCTCTGGGGGACACACACACACACACACGGAGCTGACTGTCTCAGCTGTTATTTTCGTTAAGGAGTGTGCACGTACAGCATGCGTGCCTCGTGCACGAGCCTACTATTGAAGCTGCCGTTACGCTTTTGGCCTGAGGGGGCAATCGCGAGCATAAAAATTCAAAACTCCGTAAAGTCCCTTTAAGGTACGTTGTTTAAACATTTTTTATCCTTCAGAAGGTGTGGTAGCTTTTATTTTGCCGTGGCGGCGCACCAGTCTTCAACTGTCCAATTTTGGTTAGCTTGTGCAAATTGTAGCGTCTTTTTCCTATTTGCTGTGGAGATGAGTGGTACCCGGTGGGG